CATTCTGATCTATGAAAATTTCAGCAGATTTTCGAGAATTTTCGAAATTTAACCAAAGACATTTTCTTGTATATTTCAACCTCCAGGTGTTAGTATCGGCCTCAGTTCTTCCGTAGCTCCTACAATTTGTTTAGAATCGCTCTCTGAAATATTGCAGTTTTTGATAAAAAAAAATATTTTCAAACCGAATTTTTTAAAAACCTTGCACAAGGGGCAAAAACATGCAATGTTTTTGGAATCAGCAGGATCAAATCTATATCCCAGAATTTTTTGTAATTTTTTTGGCAATTTTTCAAAAGCAAAGTTTTTCAATAGATACTAAGAAAATTTCAGTTAAATTTCAACAATTTTCGAAATTTAATCAAAGATATTTTCCTATAGATCTCCACCTCTAGAAGTTAGTTTCAGCTTCATTTCTTCGATAGTTTCTACCATTTTTCATTGCAGATTTATTTTTGGGATTTTTTTGGTAATTTCTTGAAAACAAAATTTTTCAGTGCTATGTAAATTTTCAACAATTTTCAGCAATTTTCGAAATAAGGCCAAAGATATTTTCTTATGGACGTCGGTCGATAGCTCTTACCATTTTTCCGGTGTCGCCCTCTGAAATATATTGTAATTTTTTTGGATAAAAAAAATATTTCAAACTGAATTTTTTTAAATCTTGCACCGGAGGTAACAAACACGCTACATTTTTTAAATCAGCACGACGAAATCCGCATTCCAGAATTTTCTGAGAATTTTTTGTCAACTCTTCAAAAGCAAAATTTTTCAACATCAAAATTTCAGCAAATTTTCATCAATTTTCGAAATTTAACCAAAGATATTTTCTTATAGATTCCGACCTCCAGAAGTTAGTTTCGGCCTCATTTCTTCCATAATTCCTACTATTTTTTATTCCAGAATTTTTTGAGATTTTTTTTTGTCAATTTTTTAAAAGCAAAATTTTTTAATACTATAAAAATTTCGATCAATTTTCAGCAATTTTCGAAATAAGGCCAAATATATTTTCTTATGGATTCCGACAGTTCTTACCATTTTTCCAGTATCGGCTTCTGAAATAATGTAATTTTTTTGGTTTTAAAAAAATTTAAACCGAATATTTTTAAATCTTATGTATCTTATATTTTTAAAATTAACATTACCGAATCTATTTTCCAGAAAGTTTTGGGATTTTTTTGCAATTTTTAAAACCTAACATTTTTCAATATGAACCACCAATTTTCGACAATTTTCGAAATTTAACCATATAAACTTTCTTATACATTTCGACACCATTTTTCAAAAATCGCCCACTGGAATATTGAAATTTTTGGATTAAAAAAATATATTTTCAAAACGAATGTTTTTAAATCTTGTACCGGAGACATAAAAACCCTGTTTTCTGGAATCAGCGTGACGAAATCTGCTTTCTTATTTTTTTGCAACTGTTTCAAAAGCAAAGTTTTCAATCTGAAAATTTTGTCCAGTTTTCGACAATTTTGTAAATTTAACTAAAGACATTTTCTGATAGATTTTGACCTTCAAAAATTATTTTCGGCCTCATTTCTTCTATAGCTCCTAGCATTTTCCAAAATCACCCACTGAATTATTGCAAGTTTTTGAATTTAAAAAAAAATATATTTTCAAACCGAAAATTCTGTATCTTATACCGGAGGCATAAACACGCTATGTGATTGGAATTAGCACTACGAAATCTATATTCCCGAATTTTTTAGTTTTGACAACCTTTGACAATTTCGGCCACTGAAAAATTGCAGCTTTTTGGTTCTAAAAAAATTACATTCAAATCGAATATTGTACCGAGAACATAAACAGGTTATGTTCTTGAAATCAGTAACGAAATCTATGTTCCAGATTTTTTTGGGATTTTTTGGCAACTTTTTAAAAAGTAAAATTTTTCAATATGAAAAAATTTTTGCCAACTTTCGCCTAGTTTTCGAAATTTAATTAAAACAATTTTTTATAGGTACATTTCCACCTCCAGAAAGTTAGTTTTCGCCTCATTTCTTCGACATATTTCCAGAATCGCCAATCGAAATATTGAAATTTTTGGAATAAAAAAAATAACTTTGAAAACGAATATTTTTAAATGTTGTACCGGGAACATAAACTAGCTATGTTTTTGGAATCAGCACGACTAAATTAACGGTCGAAAATTTTTTGGGATATTTTTGGCAACTTTATCAAAAACAAAATTTTCCTCTACGAACATTTTGGATAATATTTGAAATTAACCAAAGATATTTTCCTATAGATTTCAACCTCCAGAAATTAATTTTGACTTCATTTTTGTGATAGCTCATACTATTTTTCCAAAATCACCCACTGAAATATTGTAGCTATTTAATTCTAAAAAAACTTATATTCAAACCGAATATTTTTAAATCTTGTACCGAGAACAAACAGGTTATGTTTTTGAAATCAGTACTACGAAATCTATGTTTCAGATTTTTTTCGAAATTTAACCAAAGATATTTTCTTATAGATTTCGGTCTCCAGAAGTTAGTTTCAGCCTTATTTATTCCAAAGCTCCTACTAGTTTTCCAGAATCGCCAACTGAAAAAATGGCGATTTTTGGATAAAAAGTATATATTTTGAAAACGAATATTTTTAAATCTTGTACCAGAGGCATAAAAACGTTATGTTTTTGGAATCAGCGCGACGAAATCCATTTTCCTGAATTTTTTGAAATTTTTTTTGCAACTTTTTGAAAATCAAAATTTTCAATCTGAAAATTTCGGCCAAGTTTCTAAATTTAACTAAAGACATTTGCTTACAGATTTCGACCCCTTAAATTTATTTTTGACCTCATTTCTTCTATAGCTCCTACCGTGTTTCCAGAATCGCTCACTGAATTATTTATTGCAAGTTTTTGAATTTAAAAAATATAGGAGTAGATATGTATTTTCAAACCGAAAATTTTTTAATTTTGCACCGGACGCATAAACACATTATGTTGTTGGAATTAGCGCTACGAAAGACTTTTTTAACAACTTTCTCAAAAGCAAAATTTTCAATACTTCGAAAACCTTTGACAATTTAGACCAATTTTCGGCAATTTTTCGAGAATCTCCCACTGCAAAATTGCAATTTTTTGGTTTAAAAAAAAATATTTTCAAACGAAATCTTTTTAAATATTGTACCGAGAACATAAACAAATTATTTGAAATTAACACTACCAAATTTATATTCCAGATTTTTTGGCAATATGAAAAATTTCGATCAACTTTCGTCATTCTTCGAAATTGAACTAAATAAATTTTCTTATACATTTCGACCTCCAGAAGTTAGTTTCGGTACCATTTTTCAAGAATCACCCACTGAAATATTGAAATTTTTGGATTAAAAAAAAATTCAAACCGAATATTTTCAAATCTTGTTCGACGAAATCTGATTCCAGAATTTTTTACAAATTTTTGGTAACTTTTTCAAAAACAAAATTTTCAAAATTTAACGAAAGACATTTTGTAATGAACTTAGTTTCAAACCGACTATTTTTAAATCTTGGACCGGGAACATAAATGGACTATGTTTTTGGAACCAGCACGACGAAATCAATGTTTCAGAATTTTTTGGGAATTTTTGGCAACTTTTTCATAAGCAAAATTTTTCAATCCTATACAAATTTCAGCCAATTTTCGACGATTTTCTAAATTTAACTAAAAACATTTTCTTATAGATTTTTTCGATAGCTCCCACCTACAAGATAAAATTTTAAGCTACCTAAAACACTAATAAATATTTCTGTGCAATTTCGTACCGACAAAAAAAATATATAAATTTGGCGGTTCTAGCTGATTCATCCAAAGTTTACTCATCTCCTAATTTCGGCGGAAATTAAATAATACACTCGATTAACTCGTTTACAGTTCCTCTCAACATTCGCGAAGAAAAAACGTTAACCTTTCTCCTGTCGCCTTTTTCGGTTCAGACGGTCACATTTTATTACACAGTTTACCTCTGCTGAGTTTTTTTTGCCCAATTAACACACACGAACACGGCGCGAAGGCAATAATCGATTCCGTCACACGGACACAGCATAATCCAGTCGTATAGCCGCGGAAATTTAAAGTGGCATAACTAGAAATATTAACTTCTGTCTTGTAACTTATATGATTTGCGCGATAAATTTATCATTATTGTTATTATTATTATTATTTCGCTGACTAAATCAGATTCTAAATGCGCACTTGGAAATGCAGCCACGATATTCATGTCTCGCATTACCAATTATACTTTTATGATGGCCATATAACCTTATAGCTCTTGGTTCACTATACATAGATTTTCCGGTGTTCATTTTGCTTATGCAAGTAGAATAAGTATCAGTTTATTCTAGCGAAAACACTCCGTCATGTGAATGCAATTAGGTGATTAGATGTCACACATAAAACGTCGCAAGCAAAAAATGATGCAAGTTTTAATTGAGCCAATTTAGAAAAAATTCCAACCACGTCAGATATGTAAGTCACGGCAGCAAATTTTGGTCAAAGTCACCAAAATCCCTGCACAGCGAGGAGGTAAATGACATTATTGGAAAGTACAAAAGTCATTGATTCTCACAATTCGATCGCTAATCATTCTGACCTACTCAGCTGTGAACGTTTGTATTTGAACCCAATGCCAGTGCGGCTAATTATTCATTCATACATTCTTCAAAAAGCAAAAATAAAAACTATTTGAATGAAATTTGACGAATGTCGCCGCCAAGGCCCGAGGAAGGATACCGCTTAAAAATTTACAACCGCAGACATATCTCGTAAATGAATGAACTAATTCTAGCCGGAAAGTGAAATCTCGCCCTTGTGGCTTTTAGGAAGTTTCGTGTCCGGCCTCGCTCGGCTTCCGACTACTGGAAATCGGAAGCGCCAATTACGCGCTTAATTGATTTCTGATAGCACGCTATTAATTATCTCGCGACTCGTATAAGTGGTAAATCCATTGTCAATGTCACTATTGTTTTTGAAGACCTTGATGGACGTTCTCGCGTTTTGCAGCGAGTTTGGGAGCCATAACGAATCCTGTGGGCTCGATTCTGTCCGGACTGCTGGCGGAGTACGTCGGGAGGAAGAAGGCGATCCAGATCAGCAGTATCCCGTTTCTGGTGGGGTGGCTGTGCATCGGGCTGGCTGACGACATCGCGTTGCTGTATGCCGGAAGACTGGTGACCGGAATAGCCGCAGGTAAATAATCGAGTCAAGTTGGCTTTGAAAGTGCCGCTTCGTTGGGATTGTGCTAGGTATTATTCGACGAGATGTGCTAGTAGTGCGCATGCGCAAAGCCCACAAATTTGTCAATTGATATAACCTTAATTTGAGGTTTTGTTACCTTTGTTCAAATTTCACACGTTTCAAAACACGTTAAAATAGTTCGGGTCAATACCTTGGAGTTACAAATTTAAAATTAACAAATTTCAGACTGTAGAGAAAGAATTTAAGTTTAAGCTAACAAGAATTTCAGCTAAATTGTAAAAAATTCTGCAAATTTTGTTTTTTTTTCTGTCAGAACCACTACATATTAAAATAAAAAAGTCGTGTGTTCTATTTATTCCAAAAAAATAATTAACGGTTTTTTAAAACACTCACTAAAATTAACTGAATTTTAGTTGTTCTGTAATGAATTGTGAAAAATTTGATAACCCTGATGCTGTAAAATTTTAGATTATGTCAGGAATATCGTGTCGATGGTAAAACGTTAACCTTAAAATTTTGCATTGTAAATATTATTTAACTTTTTTAAAAGAACATATTTTATTTTATTTTTATTTTATTTCTTCTTTGATATTTTACTGCCTCTGCAAAAAACTGAAAATCACAGAAATGATCAAATTTGAGAACATAGAATGCTTTATTAAAAAGACAGACAATGTAAATTATTCCAACATGCAAAAAAAAATGAAACACATGGTTTTCAGTGTGATGAACTGAGATACAAATTTAGCGGTTGAACAAGATGTTTTTTTAAAATTTTAGAAAAGTTACGATAACTTGACAATTTCACATGGAAATGTCAAAAATAACATAAAAGTGCTGTAATACCCAATAAGAAATCAAATGGTACATCAAAAACAGAACACTTAGCAGTTGAAAATAATCTTCACATAACTATGTTGCTTTGTAAGCCATAAACCTGATCTGACGTGACTTGAACTGATTTAAGTCAGGTCATTTCAAATTAAGTCATGTTATATCATGTCAGGTCAGGTCAGGTTAGTTGTGTTAACATGCACTGATTTGACATGACCTGACTTGAAATGACCTGATTTTACATGACTTGAAATGACTGGACTTGACATGATTTGACTCGAAATGACCTGACTTGACATAACCCGACTTGAAATGCCGTGAAAAGACATGACTTGACTTGAGATGACCTGCTTGACATGACCGGGCTAACTTAAACTAACTTGAAATGAACTTATTTGACATACACTGACTTGACTTGACACATGATCACACTCAAGATGACTTGATTCAACATGATCTCATCTGACATGAACTGACTTGAGTTGAGCTGACTCGACTTGATATGACCTTACTCGATACGAGTTAACTCGACATGACCTGACTTGACATAAACCGACGTAAAATGACACCACTTGACACAAACTGACTCGACATGAGCAGTTTTGAAGCGACCTAACTTGCACCTAACCTGACTTAACATAACCCCACTTGATATGACCGGACATAAGATGATCTAACTTAAAATGACCTGATTTGACATGTACTGCTTTGATTTGACCTGACTTGACATAACCAGACTCGAGGTGACTTGACTCAACATGACCTGATCTGACATGAACACATTTGACATGTCCTGACTTGATCTGATTTGAAATAACTGGACTTCACAAAACTTGACTTGAAATGAGCTGACCTGAATAGACCATACTTGATGTGAGGAAACTTGAAATGACCTGACTTGAAATTATCGGATTTAAAATAACCTGACTTGAAATGATCTGATTCGAAATGACCTGACCTGAAATGACTTTGTTTAACATGACGTTACCAGACTCGAGATGAATAGACTCGACATGGCCTTATTTGACATGAGCTGTTTTGAGTAGACCTAATTTGAAATGATCTGTCCTGACATGATCTTACTTGACATGATCTAATTTGCAATGACTTGTTCTGACATGATCTTACTTGACATGACGTGACTTGAAATGACCTGATTTGACATGATATGACTCGAAATCACCTGATTTGACATGACCTGACTTGATACGACGTGGCTTGAACGAACCTGACTCAAAAGGACAGTCTATGATACGATCTGCGTTGAAATTGAGTTGAAATGACCTGTCTTGACATAATCTGACTTAAAATGACGTGGTAAGACATGACCTCATTTGATATGATTTGACTTGATATGACCACACTTACGATGATCTAACTTGAAATGCAATGACCAGACGCGGGATGACTCGACCTAATTTGACATGAACTGATTTGACATGACCTGATTTTACATGATCTAACTTGAAATGATCTTATTTGAAATGACCTGACCTGAAATGACTTTATTTGACATTGAAATGATCTAATTTGACACATCTTGAACTGAAAGAACTGGACTCGACAAGATTCGACTTGAATTGGCCTGACCAAAAATGATCATACTTGACATGACGTGACTTCAAATGACCTGATTTAAAATGACCCTAACTTGACTTGAAATAACCCGACTTAATATGTACTGACTTAACTTGAACTGGCTTGAGATGACCTGACTCAAAATGACTGGACTTGGCAATATTTATCTTGAAATGACCTGACCTGACATAATCCGAATTAAAATGATATGACTTAAAGTGACCTTAGTTCACATGACAGGTCTTAAAACGACCTAACTTGAACTGTTCTGACTTCAGATAACACGACGTGAAATGACGTAATTTCCTGAGTTAAAATGACTTCAGTAGACATAACCTTACGTAAGATTATCTAACTTGAAATGACCTGATTTAACATGCGCTGACGTGACCTGATTTGAAATGACTGGACTTGACAGAACTTCACTTGAAATGACCTGCATTGACTTCACTCGGATGACCTAACTTGACATGAGCTGATTTTACATGATTTGACTTGAAATGAATGGATTTGACAAGACTTGAAATGAAATGAACTGACCTGAAATGACCTTACTTGATATGACGTAACTTGAAATGACCTGACTTAAAATGATCGGACTTAAAATGAGCCGATTTAAAATGACCTGAGCTAAAATGACCCGATTTGACATGACTTGAACTGAAAAAAATGGACTAGCCAAGACTCAACTTGAATTGGCCTAACCTGAAATGACCTAACTTGACAAGACGTGGCATGAAATGACCTGACTTGAAATCACCCTACTTAAATGACGTGACTTGACATAACCGAACTTGAAATGATCTGAGTTGAAATGGCGGGTCTTGAAACGACCTATTGAAATAACTTTATTTGACATGTCCTGACTTACAATGACTGGACTTTGCAAGACTTGATTTAAACTGACCTGATTTAAAATTTTCCCAATTGACAAAACGTGAGTTGAAATTACCGGACTTGACATGACCTGACTTGAAATGACTTGACTTGACATGACCTGACCGGACACGACCCGAATTGACATAACCCCACTTGAAATGACATGACTTGACGTTTCCTGAGTTACAATGACTTGACTTTACATAACCGGACTTTCACTGATCTAACTCGAAGAGACCTGACCGGAAATGACCGGACGTGACATGATCCGACTTGAAATGACCTTCCTTGAGATGACCTGGCTTCTCGTGACTTGCCCGTACATGACCTGACTTGATATAACCCGACTTAACTTGACGTGACTTGGCATCACCTCACTTGAAATGATTTGAGTTGACATGACCGGTCTTGAGACGACCTGCTGAAGTGACTTGACTTAACTTTAGTTTACTTGATATGACCTGACTTACAATGACTGACCTTGACAAGACTTGACTTGAAATGGTCTGATTTGAAATGACCTCAGTTGACATGATGTGACTTGAAATTACTAGACTTGCATATGACTTGACTTGAAATGACTTAACTTGTTTTGACTTGGCTTGATGTGACCGGACAGGACACAACCTAAATTGAGATAACCCAACTTAAAGTGACGTGATTTGACATGACCTGGCTTGACACGGCGTGGCTTGAAATGACCTGACTTGAAATGACCCAACATGACATCATTTGACTTGAGATAACCTATCTTGACATGAATTGACTTGAAATGACGTGGCAAGGTATGACCTGACTTGATATGACTTGACTTGACATGACCAGACTTAAGATGCTCTAACTTGAAATGCTCTGATTTGACATGCACTGATTTAACTTGTCATTGGCCTGATTTGAAATAACCTGAATTTACATGATGTGACTTGGAATGACCTAATTTGTTATGACTTGGCTTGATGTGAGCGGTCAGGACAACCTGAGTTAAAATAACCTGACTTCATATGACCGGACTTAAGATAATCTAACTTGAAATGACCCATTCTGACATGACCTGACTTGACTTGAAATGATGATCTAACTTGAAGTGCCTTGATTTGACATGCACTGACTTAACTTGAAATGACCATACGCGGGATGACTCGACCTGATTTGACATGAACTGATTTAACATGACCTAACTTGAAATAACTGGACTTGATGATCTGACTTGAGTTAACTTGACTCGAAGTGACCAGACTTGATAGATTTGAATCGATATGACCTAACTCGACACAACTGATTTTACATGATCTGACTTGAAAAGATTTGACCTGAAATGACTTTAATTGACATGACTTGACTTGAAATTATCTGATTTGAAATGACCTGACCTGAAATGACTTTACCTGACCTCACGTGGCTTGAAATGACCTGACGTGAAGTGACCTGGCTTGACATAACCTGACTTGAATTGACATGACCCAATTTACATGACCGGAGTTGAAATGACTGGACTTGGCACGACCTGACTTGAAATGACTGGAGTTGGCATAACCTGACTTGAAATTACCGGACTTGGATGACCTGACTTGAAATGACCTGACTTTATATGACCTGACATATAGTTTCCAACAAAAAATTTCAAACATCACTTTTCTGTCATGTCAAAAATTTTAATGTAGTCGATGCTTTATTGTCATTATTTCGAACAGCTGAAATGTCAAACTTTCAAAATTCCAGCTTACGCTGCAGCTACATTCATGTAAGTGTCAAATGTAAAAGTTAAAAATGACTGTCAAATATTTAGGTTAGAAACATCTAAAGGTTGCTTTACACTATCTGACGACTGAATGACATTGACGTCTGAAATTTTTTGGCGGCAACTGTATATCATACAGACATAACGGGTGTTTAATTAAAAAAGTTATCAAATTGGCTATGCTTTTTTGTAAACATTGTGAAATATATCTGCAATTAACCTCAAATTTAATCGATGACAGCTGATAACACGGAAATGTCAATGATATGGCAGTATGAAGTAATAAAACACATGCGTTTTTCTTTGTGTTTTCTTCTATCAAAAAAGCAACACCAACTTGATGACTTTTTTAATTGAACACACAATGAGAAAGTACTCGTAAAATACAGAATGTTATTTTCTGGAATTTTTTCGTCTAATTAATTTTTGTCTTTCAGGAATGTCCAGCGCCTGCTACACCTACGTCAGCGAAGTCGCCACCCCCGAGAACCGCGGCATCCTCCAAGCCCTCGGCCCCATCTGCGCCTCCTTCGGCATCCTCCTCACCTACACCCTCGGCTACTTCCTCAACTGGGCGACCGTCGCCTTCCTCAGCGTCTTCTTCGCCGTCTTCACCCTCATCGCCGTCGAGTTCCTCCCCGAGAGCCCTCCGTACCTCATCAAAAAGGGCCACAACTCGCGCGGCTACGACAGCTACCTTTGGTTCCGCAGGAACGTAGCAGTAGCCCACCAGGAGATCCTCAACCAGTCCTCCAACGACAAAACCATCAGCTCCTCCACCAAAGAAGTGTACCTCAGTGCAGCCACAGTCAAGCCTTTCTTGATCCTGGTCACGCTCTTCTTCCTCCAGGAGCTGTCCGGCATCTACACGATCCTCTTCTACGCCGTGAACTTCTTCGAAGAAACGGACTTGAACATGAACACTTACGTTTCGTCGATTATCGTGGGGATCATCAGGTTCGTGATGTCGATAGTGACGGCGATTCTGGTGAACAAGTTCGGGAGGAAGGTTCTTTGCATGTCGTCGAGTGCTGGGATGAGTGCGACCATGTTAGTGATGGTGGTGTACTTCAAGTACTATGAAGTCCATTCGGACGAAAGTCGCGTTCTTCCGCTGCTTCCTCTGGTTTGTGTTATCTTCAACGTGATGTTTAGCATGGTGGGGATGCTCCCGATCCCCTGGATTCTAGTCGGGGAACTTTTTCCGCTGGAAGTCCGGTCCATCATGAGCGGAATTGTCATCTGTATAGCGCAATGCTTCATCTTCATATTCGTCAAGATCTACCCCGACATGATCACCTACTTAAACTTCAGTGGTACTTTGAGTACTTTTCTGGTGGCGTCAGTGGTGGCTTTACTCTTCTGTAAGACTATTCTTCCCGAGACTAAGAACAAATCGTTGGAGGAGATTGAAGAGTCCTTCAAGAATAGGAAGCTTGGGGGGAAGTTGGAGGGGTACGACAATAGGGGGTTCGTTTTGAACCCTGAAACTTTTAACAAAAAGTCTGATGAAATTTTTACGGTGCAGGTTTTGTAGTTTTTTACGAATGAAACTTAAGTAGAACGAAGAAGTAGGTGCAATTTTTTAAGCATTTTCATGTTTGAAATATTTTATAGTTCTTGTAGAACTGAAGGTGTTTGTACAAAGATATTTTTGTATATAATGACAATAAATATGATATTTATTTAGAAGGTGGCTATTAATTTGTGGCATGAGCTATTACTGATCAAGTTGGTCTAAACCGGGCTAAGCGTGCAGCACGCCCTGAATAGTAAGAAACTAGAAAAAGTGTATTATTATTTATTAATTATCATTGACTAAGACACTTTGTAGTCCATATATATCATCAACTTAACTAGATGACAACAATTTTAAGTGTATTTTAATATAATTCCAATGTCAAAATGTGAATATATTGACGGGAACTATTTGTACCCCGTCCGAAAATAGAAAGCAGTTTTGCTAAAACACATTAAATATTTTACTTAGTATTCAGTGACCTTCGATAATAGACAATAACAAAACTACAACAAATATAACAAAAAATACATTACAATATACCCAAAATACAAAATGAAGATATGCCTTCACAGTAATATCAAAATATACGATTATATTAAACTAATTTACTTCAAACCAAAATAAAATTTGTCCAATACATATACAGACATTTATTATAGTATAGTTATTTATTAAGCGAATTTTTACCAACTTGAAGATCACGTCCTTAAATTCTTCTAAAAAGTGTAACATTTTTGTAGTTTAAAAACCACTATTCGACTTTAAAATAAATAGCTTTAAATTTCGACTACAGGCAACCAGTAATTCTACTATTGTTTGTATTAAAGTACAATATTATAATAGTAGTTATATTATAAAGTACTTTAGTTATTACCACTGACAGATAAACATAGAGATCACGTCCTACAGTTAGATGTCCCTCTTACTATCTTCAAACAGGTTAGGAACAAAACGAAGTTTACAAGTAATTTTTATGAGATGATTCGTTTTGTTTCCTTCTTGATTTTTAAATAAATAGCTTTCAATTTAGACTATAGGCAACCAACAATTCACTGTTATTTTTATTAAGCATTAAAAAAGATTACGCTTTCAACTGAATATTTCTTTTTATTATCAAGGATAACTTCAAAAGAGGACAAATCATGCAGAGTTTTTTTCTGACATTATTCTCTTGTGTGTTTACATTAAAATTTGCTTTTTTTGGATTGGCAATTCTGAATTGTTGGCAGCATTGTGGTGAAAAGTGTCAACAACGGCGGCGATTTCTAATGACAGAATTGCTTCATCATAAAATTTCTAAAATAACGTATTGCCAAGCTGACAAAAACAATCACAGACATTAACAGTTACTCGATACCTACGAAAATCATATTTTTTCTGATATTATCGTTTTTGTGTTTAGTTTCAAAATTTCGTTGTGTAATGTCAAGTACAGCTTAAGAACAAGACGAATTTTGCAATATTTTTTCTGACATTGTTTACTGCTGAAAATAAAAATTCGGATACCGGATAACATCAAAAATCAAAAATTTTAAAAGTTGAAAAAGCGACAAATTGAAAAAGTAAATAATTGAGAGATTGAAAGAACAAAAACACAAATTGGCAAATTGGATAACCGGGAAATCAAAAATTGAAACATCGGAGAAAAGAAAAATTGTAACACGGAGAATAATTTAAAAAATTTGGAGATTTAAATATCAAAAAATTGAATTTTACGATTTTGAAATTCTTCAATTTTTAATTTTTCAAGTGTTCAGCTCTACTCTTCAAATTGTCAGTCGTAAATTTTTCAGTTTTACAGTTGTTCGATTTTCCATTTTTTTTTTCTAATTTTCGAACTTTCAGTTTGAATAAATTTATTCTTTTTGTTGAAAAATTGGAAAACGTAAAATCGAGAAAATGAAAAATGTACCTAGGAATCGAAATATCGAAAACTGAAACATCGGAATTTTTCTATCTTTCATTTCTCAATTCTAATTTCAATAAGTTTATTTTGAAATATCAAAAAATGATAACAATCGAAAACTGAAAAACCAAAAAATTAAAAAATTAAAAGTCTGATAATTGAGAAAAACGAAAAAACTGCAGCAGTAAACATTGCAAATCTGAAAAACCTGAAATAAAAAAATTAAAAAACGAAACATTGGAAAAAATCGAGAAATTGAAAAATCGAAAAATTAAAATTCAAAATTTTAAAAATCAAAAAATTGTAACAAATAATAATTGTAAAATCGAAAAATTAAACATTCAATCATGAACAAATTGGAAAATTAAAAATTCGAATAATCGAAAAATCAAAAACTGAAAAATCGGAAAATCAAAAATTTTGTAACATTTGAACATAGAAAAATGAAAATTCAAGAAATACGAAAAGTTTAAAATCCGAAAATCGGGGAACAAAAAAATCGAAAACACTAAAAATCAAAAAATTTAAGATTGAAAAATAAAAAAATTGAAGAGACAACCTGAAAAATCGGATATTTTAAAAAATCGGAAAATCCATAATTCGTAACAATTAAACATTAAACGATTGAAAAATTAAAAATCAAGATATTGAAATATAAAAAAAAAATGAAAAATTAAACGTTAAAAATCCAACACTGAATAACCAAAAATTGAAAAATCAAAAAACAGTAAAACTGAAGCATCGAGTAACTGAAATAGAGGTATTGAAAAACGGATAATTAAAAAATCGAAAAATTGAAAACAACGACAAACTGTAAAATTGAAAAATTGTAACATTCCCTCATGGAAAAATCGAAAAATTACAAAAAAACGAAAAATCATTGAGTAATCGCACTATTGTGAAATTTTAAAACACAAAAATCGAAAGATAGAGAAGCGGAAAAATCGTAACATTAATCGAAAATTTAGAAATTAAAAAGTTAAAAAAATCTAGAAAATGAAAAATCAAATATTGAAGCAAGGAAAAACTAGAAAATTCAAAAGTTGTAAAGACAAAAAATTTAAAGTCGAAAAATTTAAATCTTGAAAAAACAGAGAAATTGAAAAATAGCAATACTGAGAAATCAAAAATTGAAAAATCAAAAAAACGAAAAAAATTGCAACAGTGAAACATCGCAAAATTAAAAAATTAAAAAAATCTAGAAAATGAAAAATCAAATATTGAAGCAAGGAAAAACTAGAAAATTCAAAAGTTGTAAAGACAAAAAATTTAAAGTCGAAAAATTTAAATCTTGAAAAAACAGAGAAATTGAAAAATAGCAATACTGAGAAATCAAAAATTGAAAAATCAAAAAAACGAAAAAAATTGCAACAGTGAAACATCGCAAAATTGAAAAACTAAAAATTAAAAAATTAAAAAACGAAGCACTAGAAAAAAAACGAAAAATTAAAATTCAAAATTTAAAAAATCAAAAAAATTTTAACAAATATATAGAAATTATAAAATCGAAAAATCAAAAAATTTGTAACATTTAAACATAGAAAAATGAAAATTCAAGAAATGCGAAAGTTGAAAAATCCGAAAATCGGGCTACGGAAAAATCGAAAACACAAAAAATAAAAAAAAATAAGATTGAAAAATAAAAAAATTGAAAAAACAGAGAACCTGAAAAATCGAATATTGGAAAAATCGGAAAATCCATAATTCGTAACAACTAAATACCAAACAATTAGAAAATTAAAAATCAAGTTGAAATATAAAAACATTGAAAAATTAAACGTTAAAAATCAAACATTGAATAACCAAAAATTGAAAAATCGGAAAACAGTAACACTGAACTAATTAAAATAGAGATATTGAAAAACGGATAATTAAAAAATCGAAAAATAGCAATTCGAAAGTTGAACAATTAAAAAAACGGCGAATTATAAAATTGAAACATGGTAGCATTGAATCATGAAAAATCGAAAAATAAAAAAAACGGAAAATCCAAAGATCGAGACGCGGAAAAGTAGTAACATTAATAAAAATCGAAAATTTTAGAAATTAAAAAGTTAAAAAAAAAAAATAAAAATGTAAGAATTTAAGACGGCGACTCGAAAAACCGGAATCGAAAACTTGAGAAAGCTAAAAATAAAAAATCGAGAAATTGAAAAATCGAATATTGAAGAAACCAAAAATTGGAAAATTCGAAAGTTGTAAACTCGAAAAATTTTAAATCGAAAATTTGAACAATGAAAACAAAAAAATCAAAAATTGAGAAATCGAAAACTTTAAAAATAGAGAAATTGAAAAATCGGAAAATTGAAAAATTGTAACATCGAGTAATTGATAAATCGAAAAACTGAAAAAACGAACCTTTGAAAAATCAAACCACTGTAAAATTGACACATTTAAAACTAAAAAACTGAGAAATTGGGAAATTTATAAAATAGAGAAATCGAAAAATCGGAACCGAAAAATAAAAATATCTAGAAAACTCGAAAGCAGAATGAAAACATTGAATCATGAAAAAGCTGAAAAATAAAAAAAATTAAAAAATTGAAATCTTGATAATTGAGAAATCGATAAACTGCAAAACTGTAAAACTAAAAAACTGAAAAATCGTATAAAGGACAAGAAAACATTTAAAAATAGAAGAATAAAAAATCAAAAAATTTAAAAATTGACAAAACAGAGAAACTGAGAAATCAAAAATTGAAAAATCGAAAAAACGAAACAAATTACAACAGTGAAACATCACAAAACTGCAAATTAAGAATTGAGGAATTGAAAAATTGAAAAACCAAAAATAAAAAAAATTTAAACCAAAAAAAAAATCGAAAAATTCAAATTTAAAATTTAAAAAATTGAAAAATTTTAACCAGTACAAATTGTAAAATCGAAAAATTATAACACTGGACAATGAACAAATTGGAAAATTAAAAATCGAGAAATTAAAAATTGGGATAATCGAAATATCAAAAACTGAAAAATCGGAAAATCGAAACATTCCAAAGTTTTTTTTTAAAACATTAAAACATCGAAAAATTAAAATTCAAGAAAATTGGAACAATGAAAAACAGAAAAAATCAAAAATTTGAAAAATCGAAAATTCAAAAAATCGGAAAACCCAAAAATTGTAACACTGAAGCATCGAATGACTGATAAATCGAAAAATTTAAAAAACCAAACATTGCAAAATTTAACCACTGAAAACTCGATAAATTTAAAATTGAAAGACTGAGAAATCTGAAAATTTATAAAGTAGAGAAATTGGAAAATCGGAATCGAAAAATAAAAATATCTAGAAACTCAAAAGTTGAATAAAAACATTGAATTATGAAAAAATTGAAAAATTAAAAATCCGGAATTTGAAAAATCGACAAACCGTAAAATTGAAAAAAACGGGAAACGAAAATTGACAAATTGGATAACTGGGAAATCAAAGATTGAAAATTCGGTGAAAAGAAAAATTGTAAACTTCAGAAAAATTGAAAATCTAGAAATTTAAATATCAAAAAATTGAATTTTACGATTTTGAAATTCTTCAATTTATGATTTCCCAAGTATTAATTTTTCAAGTTTTCAGATTCCATTTTTCAAATTCTGCGTTTTAAATTTTTCATTTTCCCAATTTTACATGTTCTAATTTTTCAAAAAAAAGAATAAATTTATTCAAACTGAAAGTTTGAAAATTTGAAAAATTGTAAAATTGTAAAACTGAAAAATCAAAATATATATCTTGGAATTGAAATACCGAAAATTGAAACATTGCAATTTCTCTATTTTTCATTTCTGTTTTATTAATTTCAATAAATTTATTCAGACTTATTTTGAAAAATCAAAAAATTATAAAATAGAAAAACTGAAAAACCAAAAAAATTAAAAAACCGTCACTAAAAAACTGCAAAATCAAAACTTGAAAAACCAAATATTGAAAAGTTCAACCTATAATTGAAAATTTTAAAAGATAAAAGTGGACAAATCGAAAAATGGGATGGGATTATCGAGAAATTGAAAAGTCAAACACGGAAACGAAACACTGAAAAATAGAAACATTAAAAGCCGAAAAAACGAAAAAAATTGCAACGCTGAAACATCGCAAAATTGAAAAATCAAAAATTGAAAAACCAAAAAATTAAAAATCGAAAAATCAAAAATAAAAAAAAATAAAAAACGAAACATTGGAATACGACGCGAAATAAAAAAATCGAAAAATTTTAACAAATATAAATTGTAAAATCGAAAAATTAATACATTGAATCATAAACAAACTGGAAAATTAAAAATCGAGACAAAAAATTGGAAAATTGAGAAACTGTAAAGTCGAAAAATTTGAAATCGGAATCGAAAAATAAAAATATCCAGAAACTCAAAAGCTGAGGACTTTGGAAAAACTTTAAAAAATTAAAAAATTCAGAAAACGAAAAATTAAAATATGTAGAAATTAAAAAATGGAAAAACGGAAAAAACGAGAATTGAAAAAAGTTGAAAAACCGAAAAATAAAAAATTCAGAAACTGAAAAATCGAAAAATTAAAATATCTAGATAATTCGAAATTGGATAATTTGTTGTCAAATGGCACCAAAACAAATGTAGAAATTTCAACACTCATTTATTGACAGACTCGACAAAAAAATCGTTTAATTTCCTGTGAGTATTTTTTTCATAGTCAGTTACTTTATGTAGAAAAATATTTCACAGATAAAAAAAAGTGTACCCCACGATTAAATTCTACCCCTTCGAATGTTTCCCATTTACATGTTTCCGCAAATGCGGCTTATACTTCGACCTGTAACTACATTCGTCACATTCGTACCACTTAATATCCTCCTCGCTCGCATGCAGCGCATTCACGTGACTTTTCAAATGCGAATTCTGCTTAGTTTTATACGGACACTCTTTGCATTCATACCACTTAATAGCACTCTCATCCTGATGTTGCGTCTTCACGTGCTGCTTCAAATTAGACATTTGTTTAGCTTTATACGAGCACTTGCCACACTCGTGCCACTTAATATCCTTCTCATCTACATGCCGCGACAGCATGTGTCTATTCAACTTGAATTTTTGTTTACATTTGTACGAACACTTTTCACATTCATACCACTTAATATCCTCCTCACTTGTGTGAAGCGCGTTTATGTGAATCTTCAAATGCGAACTTTGCTTTGCTTTATACGGACATTTGTCACATATGTACCATTTAATATCTTGCTCATCGCTATGTTGTCCGTTTATATGTTGCTTTAAATACGATTTTTCTTTAGCTTTGTACGGACAACGTTGACATTTGTGCCATTTAATGTTCTTTTCGTCTAAATGTCGCAACGTGATGTGTTTGCTTAAAGCAAACTTTTGCTTAGATTTATATGGGCAGTGGTAACATTCGTACCATTTAATATCCCCCCCGTCCGCATGGAGCGCATTTATGTGACTTTTTAAATGCGAGTTCTGTTTTGTTTTGTATGGACATTGTTGGCATTCGTACCATTTAATACCCTGTTCGTCCAGATGTTGCGCATTTATGTGTTGCTTTAAGTTCGATTTTTGTTTGCTTTTGAATTGGCATATTTTGCATTCGTGCCATTTAATATCTTTGGCATCTACATGTACCGACATAACGTGTCTATTTAACGTGGACTTTTGTTTACATTTGTAATGGCATTTTTTGCACGCGTACCATTTAATAACAGTTTCATCGGTATGAATGGCATTTACGTGGTTTTTTAAATGGGCGTTTTGTTTAGTTTTGTACGGACACTCTTTGCATTTGTACCATTTAATATTGTCTTCGTCCAAATGGTGCGCAGTGATGTGTCTTTTTAAATTGCTTAGAAACCGATTTTTGTAAGGGCACTTTTTACATTCATACCATTTAAGCCGGCGGGTTTTAGCATGGCTTGAAGACACGTGTGATTTTAGCTTAGATTTGTACTTAGATTTATATTCGCACCAATCGCAATTATACCACGTGGAATTTTCCTTAATGTCACCCATGGCACCACAGAGTGCTACATGATGCAACCATTGAAGCAAAAAGTGGGTTTCAAATTTGCACTTTTTACAAATATAGCTCCTAATGACATACTCCATACGGTTTTCAGTTTTAGCGCTGTGGCACCTTTCTAGGTGTTTCTTCAACATTAGTAGCAACTCACTCCGGATATTGCAATCCTTGCAGTAATAAACTTCAACATCCACGGTTTCGCAGTTGAAGGGTGTTGTTAATGACTGATGTCTTCGTGTATGGTTTGCAAAAAGAAGCGCCGAGGAGGTAAAATACGGGCATTTTTGGCACCTATACTCGTTACGGGGTGATCTAACCTCAATAAATTTTGTCGAATATTCCAAAATCGACATTTTGGTCCCTAAATGATTACTTAGCGTTATGTTAAGTCAAACGTGTAACTTTTTCTGTTCTTACCTTTTTTGACCACAAAAATTCAATTTGTTTTCAAAATTCTAACCTCAAATTGGGGTGTTTTCACGCAATTTTCGCACTTAAATGCAACAGCGCAGGTTTTAATTTTAAGGTCTTAAAAATGTATTGATCGGAATGAAAGAGAAAGAAGCGCTAAATATCAAAAATTAGATTTAATAGGAAATTTCGTTATTAGGGAGATTGGTAAATTCGTTCGTCGGATAATTTCACCACTCAATGGGTGTTTAGTTGGGTGCATATTTATTTGACAATGTTAATAAATTAATAATTTAATAAATAAAATGCCTTATAGTGTAAAAACTTGATTCGAATATAAAATTAATAGAACGTGTTTTAGGTTACCAGGTCACGTTTTACGAAAATTTTTAGAAAATTAGTTCATGCATTGTTTTCACTTTCGATTAAATTATTTGTAAAATTGTACTATTTTGAAAATGAAAAATTCAGGTTTTCATAGAAGAATGAAAATCAACTGGAATATTGTTGATGTCACTGTCATTCGTTCGGTTCTTTTTTGAATTTTTTTTTTTTTTTGATTTATCAATTTCTCAGTTTTTCCATTTTTCTTTGTTTTTCGTCTTACAGTTTTTAGGTATTACAATGTTTCAATATTTGAGTTTCTGGATTTTTCATTTTGAAATTTTTCAGTTTTCTTTTAAATTTTTCTAGATTTCAGTCTCAAATTCTTCGATTTTTCAGTATTTCGTTGTTTCAGTATTCGATTTTTCAGTTTCTTGATTTTTCACTTTTAATTTTTAAATTTCTGAATATTTTGTCAATTCTTCGTTTTTTTAATTTTTCCATTTTCTCCATTTTTTTAACTTCTTCATGATTCCGTGTTAGAATTTTTCAATTTTACTACTTATCTTTTTTTTAATTATCCGATTTTTCAATTTCTCTATTTTGTCAATTTGTCGTTTTCTTAACTTTTCAAGTTTAAATTTTGCGAATTTTCATCTTCATTTTTTAGTATTTACCCAATTTTTCAGTTTTTCAACTTTTTCAATTTTTCAATTTTTCACTGTTTTGATTTTTCAGTTCCCCAATTTTTGTTTTTGGATTTTTTCAACTTTTGTATTTTAGCTTTTCATTTTTCATTTATCAATTATTCAATTTTTTCAGTTTATTGATTTTTATTGTTAGATTTCTCAGTTTTTCGATTCCAATTTTCACGCTTTCAGTCTTCGATTTTTCAGTTCTTGATTTTTGATAATTACTCGCTTTTTCAGATTCCAGATTTCCACTTTCCACTTTTCAATTTTTCGTTTCTTCAATTTTCATCCGATTTTTGCATTTCTCTATTTTTAAAATTTTTCAGTTTGTCAATTTCTCTATTTTCTTTCGATTTTATTTTTTCACCTTTCTAAATTTAAAATTTTCCAATTTTTTGTTCCTTCAATTTTCATATTTGCAATTTTTTGATTTTTCAGTTTCTCGATTTTTCGATTATACCTGTTGTTGTTTTTTTTTTTAATTTTCCATTTATTCAATCGTTGATTTTTTAATACTATTTTTCAGTTTCTCTTGTTAAAATTAGTCTACTTTTTAACTTTTGAATTTTCCAATTTTTTTATTTCCTCAGTTAGGTATTTGATTTTTCAATTTTTCAATTTCTGGATCTTTAATTTTCAGTTTTTCGATTCCAATTTTTGGAGCTTCCGCCTCAAATTCTTTGACAACTTATTTTCTCGTTTCTTCAATTTTTTCAATTTTCTATTTTCTAGATTTTTAATTTTTAGATTTTTCAGTTTTTCGGTTCCAAATTTTCGAGCTTCCACCTTAAATTTTTGGTTTTTTCAATTTTTTGTTCCCATAATTATTTATTTTTTGATTTTTCTATTACTCAGTTATCCGATTTTTCATTTCCTCGATTTAAATTTTTTTTAATTTTTCAAAATTTCAGTATTAATAAATTTGTTTTTGTTAAAAGACTGAAAAGGAAAAAATTCAGATATTTCTAATTTTTCAATTTTTGATTTTTTAATTTCTTGATCTTTCGATTTTTCATCTTGACATTTTTTGGAATTTATCGATTTCTTAATTATCCAATTTTTTATTTATTCCATTTTTCTTTACCTGGACTTTTTTACTTTTCAATTTTTCATGTGCTCGATTAATAATTTTTTAATTTTTCGCTTTTTGATTTTTCGTTTCATGATTTTTATCAATATGTATTCCAGTTCGATTCTAACTTTGAAGCTTTCAATCTGCGGTTTTTCAATTCTTAATTTTTGATAATTACCCTATTTTTCAATTTCTTTAATACTATAATTTTTCTAAATTTTTGATATTACAGTTTCCAATTTTCGACTTTTTAAATTTTGACACTTCATTTTTTCGTTTCTTCAATTAGTCGATTTACCGATTTTTCAATTTTTGATTATTCCATAATCATCTGATTTTTTAATTTTTCAATGTTTAAAATTTTTCGATTTTTTATTGTTTCGAATTTTCGATTTTACGTTTTTTCTAAATTTTTAATTTTCCAATTTTTCATTTCTTCAATTTTCCATTTGCAATTTTTTGATTTTTCAGTATCTTGGTTTTTCGATTATACTGCTTTCTTTATTTTCCATTTTTTCAATTTTTGATTTTTAAAAAATTATTCGATTTTTCATTTTCTTGATTTTTAATTTCCAGTTTTTCGGTTCCAATTTTTTTAACTTTCACCTTAAATTCTTCTAATGTTTCTTTTTTTTTGTTTAGTTTTTCAGTTTCTTAACTTTTCCAGTTTTCAATTTTTTATTTTCTCGATTTTCAATTTTTAGAGTTTTCAGCTTTTCGATTCCATAATTTTTCGATTTTTTCGGTTTTCTAATCTCTAAATGTTTCCATTTTTGATGTTATCATTTTTAATTTTTGATTTTTCAATTACTCAGTTATCCGGTTTTTCAACTTCTCGATCTTTTTATTTTATAATTTTTAAAATTTTGCAATTTCACAACTACTCAATTATTCGATTTACCGATTCTTCAATTTATGGGTTTCTCTATTTTTTAAATTGTTCGATTTTTCGATGTTTCGAATTTTCGATTTTACGTTTTTCGACTTTTCTAAATTTTTAATTTCCAAATTTTCATTTCTTCAAATTTCCGATTTGCAATTTTTTATTTTTTATTTTCTTGATTTTTCGATTATACCGTTTTTTTTTAATTTTCTATTTTTTCAACTGTTTTTAAAATTTTTCTACTTTTTAACTTTTGATTTTTCCAATTTTTTTTTCTTCAGTTATTTGATTTTTAAATTTTTCGATTTTTTAATTTAATTCGATTTTTCATTTTCTGGATCTTGAATTTTCAATTTTTCGATTCTAATTTTTATAGCTCCCCCCCTTAAATTCTTCAATTGTTCATTTTTTCTCTGCTTCAATTTTTTAGTTTTTTAAATTTCCCAGTTTTCAATTTTTCATTTTCTCGATTTTTAATTTTTAGATTTTTCAGTTTTTCGACCCCAATTTTCAAGCTTTCAATTTTCGATTTTTCAATTTCTTTGATTCTAAAATTTTTCCAAAATTTTTTCAGTTTCCAGTTTTCGATTTTCTGACTTTGAAATGTCAATTTTTTGTTGTGTAGTTTTTAGATTTTACACTTTTTCAATATTTCAGTTTTTCGATCTAATTTACAAGCTTTCAATCTGAGATTTTTCAATTCTCTCGATTAGTAATTTCTTGATTTTTGGATATTTCAGTTTCCAGTTTTTGACTTTCCAACTTTTGAAAGTTCAACTTTTCGTTTCTTCAATTATTCGATATACCGACTTTTCAATTTTTGATTTTTGGATATTTTAAAAATTTTTCAGTTTTTCGAATTTTCGATTTTGTTTTTCGACTTTCTAAAGTTTTAATTTTTCAGTTTTTCGTTTCTTCAATTTTCTGATTTGCAATTTTTTGATTTTTCAGTTTTTCGATTTTTCGATTATGTATATGTACTGTTTTTTTAATTTTTTATTTTCTCAATTTTTGATTTTTTAATAATTATTCTATTTTTCAATTTGTTTTTAAAAGTTTTCTACTTACTAACTTTTGAATTTTCCAATTTTTTTATTTCTTCAGTTATTTGATTTTTCACTTTTTCGATTTTTTAATTTTATTCGATTTTTCATTTTCTGCATAATGTTCAGTTTTCCGGTTCCAATTATTCCAGCTTCCACCTTAAATTTTTGATATTTTCAACTTTTCGTTTTTTTTCCATTTTCCAATTTCTAAATTTTTCCATTTTTGATGTTATGATTTTCAATTTATGATTTCCAATTCCTCAGTTATCCAATTTTTCAATCTTTCGATCTTTCTATTTTATAATCTTAAAAATTTTGCAATTCCTCGATTTTAAATTTCAGTTTGGATAAACTTGTTCTTTTTGTTAAAAAACTGAAAAGCAAAAAATTGATAGATATTTAATTTTTCAGTTTCTCATTCTTTCGATTTTTCATCTTGACAGATTTTGGAATTTATCGATTTCTTAATTATCCAATTTTTTATTTCTTCGATTTTTGTTTTTCTCGACTCTTTGACTTTTCAATTTTTCATGTGCTCGATTTTTCGATTCTAATTTTCAAGCTTCAAGTGCGATTTGTTAATTATTTCGATCTGTAACTTCTTGATTTTGCAATTTTTCAATTCTTGATTTTTGTAATTCTAAAATTTCCCCATTCAGTTTCGAGCTTTCGACTTTCCAACTTCAATTTTTCGTTTCTTCAATTATTCGATTTTTCAATTCGTATTCGTTTCACCGATTTTTCAATTTCTGATTTTTCAATAATCGTCCAAGTTTTTGATTTCTCTATTTTTAAAATTTTTCAGTTTTCCCATTTCTCTATTTTTAAAATTTTTCGATTTTTCATTGTTTCGCATTTTCGATTTTACGATTTTCGACTTTCTAAACTTTTAATTTTCCAATTTTCCATTTCTTTAATTTTCCGATTTGCAATTTTTGATTTTTCAACAATTATTCTATTTTTCAATTTCCGTTTTAAAAATTTTTCCGCTTTTTAACATTTGAATTTTCCAATTTTTTATTCCTTCAGTTCCTTAATTTTTCAATTTTTCGATTTTTTAATTTTACTTGATTTTTCATTTTCTGGATCTTTAATTTTGAGTTTTTTTATTTTTTCCAGTTTTCAATTTTTTTTCTCAATTTTTATTTTTCAAATTTTTCAGTTTTTCGATTCCA